TTGATTGTTTCCGGCAGGCGGTGACAAGTAATGTACGAGATTAGAAGACCTCCTGGTCAGAATTTTTTTTGTAGCCTAAGCCCGTCATGATATGGCCGCCGGATACCAACAGAAACATCTGTTTTCGAGTTTTCCTACTAATAGGTGAATTCTTCGCTTGAGGAACTCATAAAGATTACAGTAATATTTATTCTGAGACAAGGAATGTTTAGATTGCAAAATCTCCCAAAATCGGTAATGTTTTTAACCCACATAAGCTTCCCCGGCCGCCAGCTAAATGCCGCGTCACGCAAAAGCCTGGAAATTCAAGCGTCCTCTCACGCAAAACGAAGAACCCTTTCGAACCAAAAATTTGTTTATGTAAAGGTGTTTAGGTACTGTAATACCTCGTGAAAGTAGAAACTCGGAAGAATCGATAGTTTCTTAGTTTGATTTTTGGTGACGTCACGTGCAAGTATAATTTCGCGCATGCGGTCCGCATGCTGACGAGGCAACCCGTCACCCGAGACGAAGCATAAAGGATAAACAATGAGTTCATGATGGAGACGCTTAGTAAGCGCATTTTCAAAATGCTGGCACGAAATGGTCAATTATGGTCAGTCATCTGAATCATCTACTTTTTAACAAAGTTTTTCTCTCCATCAGTGTTGTATAGGTGAGTGTACATGTCGTTTCCCGTTAATCGCAGCGAATTTTAAAGGATGAAGTGTTCTCAAAAAAACACACACTCATCCATACCAGCTACGCAATATAGTGAGCGGATAGTCCTTGTTTACTTCCGCTTTATAGATACGACTTACGTTCTCGCTGAAAATTCTACGTTCTACTATGAAGTCAGGAACTAAACCACCCGTGATGTTCGTGAGCTTACAGCGGCTTTTAGTAATTACACGTAGAACTTTCTATACGCATCTGGGTTCGCATCGTCATGTCTAACACGCGAACAGCACATGTCTATAAGTAGCTACTTCAGCTCGTAGGTGGCATTTCTCATCGTGAATTAAACCTGAAATTATAGTGTTTGAGGTTAACAAGAACCTGACACATCGTGTTTCCCAGTTCCCTTAGCTTAGAGCTCTACCCGACCGTTTTGAATAATTTTCCGTTTGAATATCTTGTTTGAGTGTTTACAACACCAGATCGTAACGACAGATCTGTGAAGAATTCTGGTTTCATTAAAAAGGTAAGCATGATTTGTGGTAATAGTTGAAGGCTGAAAATTGTTTGTTTTAAAGCGAAATTGTCTGGTTGATGGCTGATGCTGGACTGATCTCAGCTTCATCATTTAACCTCCCGTTTTCATTGTTTCTGGTTCTCAACGTCAGTGTTACATTTTGCCGTGATCAATAGGAAACATTCAGTTAATGCTAACAAGGCAAGATTTCGTTTCTGCATAGTACTTGAGTAGGTTCGAAGGTCTACTAAGTTTGGATCAATCTTTCTCCAGAATGTAGGATACCTTACCGACTAATCTTGAAGTTATCAGGTATATGTAATGTATTGTAGTAGGCAGGGAATTGAACTGCTAGAAGGTTTTCTTGATTCCATTTTCCTTTTTGTTTCCTCTGAAAGAGGCCTGGGACAAATCCCTCTCTGTTGCCCCTTACCGACATCCCTGTTAATTTTCTTTTTGTACCTTTTGTGTCATTTAAAAAATCCTAGTGGTACTCAGGAAGATCTGAAATCTTTAAAGAAGCCCTCTCTTTCTTTTCTGTCACTAAGGGTGCATTCCTTTGAGATGGTCCGGATCAGGATGAGTGATTTGAGATCACTCAGATCATGGCACATCAAATGACCTGATGAATCCTTTCCCAGGGTAGATTTTGTTTCCCAGTTCCTTTGATGTGCTGTGATGTGAGCACCCTGTGATCAGAGCTTCCTTTTGTCTTCTTGAGTGGGGAGGAGAAAGGGAGGCTCTGCTTTCATCACATCAAACCTTTGGCAGTGATTTTGTTACACATAGTTATGGTGAGTCGTGGGACTCATCTTGTGAAAAATCATGAGTCCCAGTCCAGAAAAACTGAGTCCCAGTTCAAAAAACAATGAGTCTCTGAGTCTTTTGTAACCACACAGTTAATCTGAAGACAGACTCCAAGACTCTGCATTACAATTTACTGAAATAAAAGTATACTCAGGACTTCTATTGTAAAGCACAGCAAAGACTAAAAGAAATAAGCCTAGTTAAACAACAGCCACAAGAACAGCCACAGAAATCACACAAACAGGATATATTTCTACAAAAAACATCTTCAGATCAGTCAATTGATCTTTGCGTCCTACAGGACACATGCCACAAATTATTTTGCGTCTTTGGGTTTCTTATGCGTCAGCAACGCAGTACACAGAAGTAACAAAATCACTGCTTTGAGGTCACCACAGCCCAAACTTCTGGACTAGTCAATCTTGTTCTCTCTGACAATCGTCAAACTTTTTTTTGAGTGCGCGCCTCCGTTTATTGATAAACTGATGTCATAACTGAGTCTGCTGTAGCAAGCACACGGCTTTTAGGCCTAGGTTTGAAGCTGTATCCTAGCATCATGCAGCGCATGCTCAACAAAGATCTTACTCGATTCATGCAGATTCTTTCTCGAGTGCACCAAAAGTTAGCGAGCGAAAGAAAGACTCTCCTGGCAGGATGTGATATGAGTGATTTGGGATACTGATTCAGATCTGGCATTAACGAACTACATTTTGTTAACAGAGATTTCAATAGTAGGCAACAAAGCTAGCCACAGCACACTGGTTGCCCTGCACTGAGCCGAGAATCATTACAAGCTGGGAGTTGGTTGGAGTTATTATAAGTGGGCATCTTCATACCAGTAATAACCATGCTCTGATTAAACCACTAAACATTATAACATTTTACCCTGATTTGTATGATCCTTGTGCACCTTTTTTGTTTTTCTTTTCATATCTGCTCATTGAGTACAAAGTTTTAAGAAATTATGACTGGCTCAAACTTTTAATGCTAGGTTGGAGTTGAATCAGATATTTTGAACTGAAGATGCAAAAGACTTCTGTATTTTTCTTTGTTTTGAATTTGCTTAGCATTATCATGTAAGATTTGGTTATTAATATTTTATGATGGCAGAGTACCTTAATAGAGTATACTGAATCGTTATCTTAAAGAATAGATTATGCAAATCGTATAGAAAAACTGTGGGGTGAAAAATTAAATGAGAGAGGATCATTGCAGTTGTAGACACAATTTGGCAGTTGCGAAAAGAAAGCCTTAAAAAATTCAGGCTTGAACTGGATTCATACCCTAGACCTCTGCATTGCTGATTCAGTGCCTTACCAATCGAGCTAACAACTCAACTCAGAGCAGGTCATTGGGTTCATTCATTATAAACCCTTGATTGGATGATGTTGAAATAATGAACATTTGAAAATCAGATGGAAGGACAGTAGGGTGAAGAATAAAATGAGAGAAGATCATTGTAGTTATAGATGCAACTTGTAGTTGCAAAAAGAAAGCCTGTTAATTTTTTGTCTCATGATGTTGTTAGTTAAGATGTAAGTCTTCATCAGGTGATGAGTGAGCTGTACTTGTGTCATCACCATAATTTCATACTGCAAATGTTCAGCTGTGATGTTATATGTGCTTGTGAAGTCAGGGGCAGCCAATAATTTTTTTTTTCTGTAAAACGTCTGTTAGAAAAAGCAAACACTGGCTGGAAATTTCTAGAGGTTGAAAAGGCTAAGAATTTCTGAATGTCCATTCTATTTGTCTTAGAATTTGAAGAGTCTTTCCTCTCTTACTACTAACTTAACCTAAGACTTTTGGAGGTTGTGTTTTTTACATTTTATTACCAGGCATGATATTGTGATTATTGTCAAAAAAGGTCTCCTGAAAAGTCTGGTATAAAGACAAAATGCCCCTCTAGCAAATGAAAGTATGGCTCTGAACCCATGAGGGTAGCTAACAGTTTCCTATAGGATGAAAAAACCGTCTACAACTTTCGAGGCGACCAAAGTACATAAACCAAAGTTCCCCTAATCATCTGAAACAGATAAATAGTTTTTAGTGCAGCTCCAAACTTACCAGACAGGCTTCCAAAGCTTGGAGGAAACTATTTGAGACACTTCTGAAATATTGTGGATTCGTTCGGCTGTTGGTGCCCTCTGAAGTGAAACAGCCATACAGTGTAGTGTCTTGTCCACCACTCACAATCAGCATTACACTGCATATTTTGACAAATCCTTAAAAGCCCCGAACGTGATCAACATCACATTTCTCATTGTAATATCAATGCTTTATGCAGCAAAGTGGTCATGAGAATTAGATGCATAACCACACAACATGACTTTCTTCTCCCTACTATTTGTACAGGAAATGTATGGGGGTAATAAATTAGTCATGCATGTTCCCTTTTGAACACTAGCAGAAAACTATTGAAACGCTGCAGTATATATGATCTAATTAGCTGTCTCTGTGTTCATTTTAAATAATAAGGCACGTCAGTGAGTCGAAAAGTAGAACAAAGCATAGCACAAAACATAATTATTGTTATTGTGCAGCGACCTATTAAGTATTGTTAAAGTCTCAATTGCAGAACTGTCTGTTTGTTTTGATTTCTCAGAACTGGACCTCAATTCTTGGAATTAGCACCATTGTAATGTAAATGGATAAGCCTGCATTCCTTTTATTGTTAACCCTGTAAACCCATTATCCAAATACAAATTACCCACACTGATCTCCATACATCAGGTGATCATTTCATTAATTCTCACAACATTTTCTCTTGATTATGTATTGACATTGTTAAGAGAAAATTGACTTTGGTCACTCTTGGGACTTAAAAAGGGTTAAGTTCCATCTATTTTGAGTAATCAAAACCCCAAGCTCAAGGCTTCCAAGCTGACCATCAGCAAGTCTAGTAGACAACTGGTGGATGAGTGAAGTGAGGTAGATCGGTTGAGATTTCTATTATTAGCGAAAAAACGGCAGTATGATTTATGCCTTGAACGTACTAATTTTTTTCTATGTCACACAACACAGGGGAGAATCAGAGAACAGTTCGAGCTGTCATGGACAAAGATATAGAAGCAGCTGATGAAACTCAAAGAAACAGGGCTAGTCGGAGTGGAAATCATTATCATCAGCTGGCCAGGGACACTGCTCAAGCTTTAGCTGAGCTGCAAGTTCCCGGTGCCAGTAATGAAATTATAAGTTCCAATGAAAGAGGCGGAAATGAATCAGAAGCTCGACAAAGAGTTCGTGAGGAAACGCAAAGGGTTAATGTAAGAAGGAGAGCAAATCACTATCACCAGCAAGCTGCAGATACTGGTCAACCTTTGGCCGAGCTTCAAATCTCATCTGCCAGCAATTTTGACAGCGAAGCTGTTAATAGCGTTGACGGTAGAATCGAAAGTGAAAGTCACACAGCCCGTGACAAACAGCAAATCCCAGCTAAGGGGAAACGAAAAGGAAAAAAGCATTACCTAGAAGTTGCGAAAGGTACGTCGGGAGCTTTAGCAGAGCTTCGCACACCTTGCACCAGTGATGATCGGACTTCACAACAAGAAGCTGGATTACAATCTCAGTTCCAAACAACTGAGTCTGTAGCTTGTGAAGAGTCACTGACAGAGGACGATCCAAATGCGACTTGCGGATCAGGCTTCTTTCGTGATGGAAGTAATGGAGGAGAGGAATGGTCTTTAGGGAGTCAAAACGAAGCGACTGAATCGTCAACCTTTCCTCGCCAGGAATCTCTGCCTGAATACAATCCAGACGCAACTTGTGGGTCAACTTGTAGACCTTTAAGTAGTTACGCTGACGAAGAGATGCAAACTGAAGGGGAATTGAACTCGTGTGGCCATCGCGAAGCGAGCAAGTCTAGTTCATATCAGGAATCGTTATCGGAATACAATCCAGATGCAACTTGTGGGACGGGGTACTGGCAACAGGCGAGTGCTGTGATGGATTCTTTTACCGGTCAGGAATCTCTTTCGAAAAACGACACTGACTACTCGAGCTTTAAATCAGACACCGAGAAAATCGTTAGTACCGAAAGTTGTTGGACTGGAGAAACACCTAAGCCGCTTCCAGCAGAAACCGACACGCATCATAGTACTGTTGCTGAAGAAGACGGCAGTCAACAAAACAACAGCTATCACTCCAAGCAAGATGGAGAACCTTGCACTAAAAAACCGAAACCCAACCCGGAAGTGACCAATCACCTTTCACTTTCCTCACATCCGGAACATTTCCATGAAGAGACGGGACCTTCTTGCTGTTCCGCTCTTGCGCTCGGCCAAGGGTCGGTTTCTGAGATGTCGTCGACAATGTCGGAGCAGTTTAAGGCAATGACTACAGAAGACACACAAGAGAACGTATTACTAAATGATGGAGCTCGTTCAAGGGATACTGAGTGTCTGAGCTCAGAATTTGAACACATGAATATCGACGAGTACGATGGCGTTGAACCAAGTACCGGTTCTTACTCTTCTGTTAACTCGCAAACAAGTGAAAACGTGGATTCCCTTAAGAGCGCCACTCAAGATTCACTAAAAGATATAGAAAATGGCGCGTCATATTCGAGTGGCTTTGAGACTCAAGTTCATAACCAGGTACCAGCACCGATGAACGAAAACGCGGAAGTGGCTGGTGCAGTATCCCGCGAAAGTTTGACGTCAGTAAGTAGTATCCCCCAAGGTGCTAGACCTAAGACTAAAGTGAAGGTACCTGGAGGAAAGAAAAATAAAACACCAAAACAAAACACCAAAAACCCTTATAATGAGCTTGCGAAGACGGTATCTGCTGACTTGTCAGCTTTAAACATAAAGATGGATAATTCACGATCTGGAAAATCTACTGGAAACCATCTCCGAGATGATTTGAGAGATCAAGAGTTACTTGATGGTGGCAGCTCCCAAGCTGCAGGAACAAGCAACTCTTCCAGAAACGTGTCTACCTCAGAGTTTGGGCTGGTTAATGCTCGACAACAGCCAAGTGAAGAACAGCTTAACAGACCTCATGATGGAAATCAGAGCGAAGATTGGTCATTGTTAGGGGATGGTGCACAATTGTCGGACCAAAGCACTAACGTAGTCTCGCAGCACACGCATGCTACCTCGCAAAACAAGGATTTTACCTCGCAACAAACGCAAACTTCCTCGCGGCGAAGCCGTAACTCCCCAGAGGCGCGCGCTGCTGCTGAGTATTGCAGACAACAGGTGCAAGAACAGCAGAAGTTGATTGATAATATGGCACCCGAACTACAAGCCTTGGTGATTGAAATGATACGGCGTGATGAAGAAGAACTAGGGGGAGGGCACGTGCTCCGTGATGTACACTTTCAACCGCCTATTCCCCCGAGGGAACAAGCTGGGACTTACGAGCAAACCAACAGCCAGGAGGCCAGCGTCCAGGGGCCTTCACAGAATTCCGGTGGCAAAAAATCTAAGAAGGGAAAAAAGAAGAAAGGTCATTATGTGGAACTCGCTGGTTTGATAGCGCCAGAGCTGACAAAACTTAATGGTGTGATGAACGGACACAGAGAAGAGCATGAAACAACAGCTGAGCATGAAGCAGCAGGGATAGACCAAAGCGATGGGGCCAACCAAGGCGCTTTGGGTAATTCGCCGCACGAAGAAAATGGTTCTCTTCAGGGAATGCGTCACAATGGTGCATATTCAAATTCTCCGGGGCCATCTTATCAAGGTGCTTGGGGAGGCTCATCGCGTGGTCTGTCACATGTTCAAAGCTCACAACCCAATCGACAGAGACGCGGAAACGGAAACCATAGCATGGGTAAGCGCCCTCGGTTATTCTGTGGGCATTTGTTTTGGCCATCAATTTTTTCCAAAGAAAAAAGAACATTTTTTATTTTCTATTTTTAGTCGTTATCAAAATGAGCCAGTAATCGGCTTTTTAACGGGAGATAGGCGAAGAGAAAGCGAGAAAGAACGACCGCACGGGGACGGGGAAAGGAGTAAGGCAGCACGATCTCATGGAACATTAGCCTGATTTAGCAACAGAACGGGAACGTCAGTTGACGACGGCACGGGTAAATCAGACACCTGGCTTGACCAATGGTAGAGCGGCAAGTCGCGTTCAGTTCTTTGCGCGCGCTTTCCCGTCGCCAACTGACGTTCCCGTTCTGTAGCTAAATCAGCCTTTTATCTCATGCTACACCTAAATACGTTTTCTGGCACCAACATGCTTTAAAGTAAAACTCCGTCAAACGACCCCCTTGTTGATACGACTACTCTACAATTTTCCACTTTTTCTATCCCGGCCTCGAGATAAACGATACAAATGGAAACTAGCCAAAGTCTAGAGAATAAGTGGATAAAACCTTTCAATTAAATTCTACTGAGCAGCGCCTTTCTTTGGTAATGTTTGTTGTCTATTCTTATTCAAGGCGGCAAAAATTTCTTGAATCTAAGGTTGATAGGTTTCGAATAGATTCTGCTAACCAGTACTCCCCATAAATCGCCCGCCAATTCGCCCGCCAAGCCCAAACATAAGCAGGGAAGTCGCAAAGTGTCCACCGTTTTCCCATCTAGAACCCCACTTCTCTCGGCTTACAATAATCCTCGTGCGGTTACTCTCTATTCTTTGCGTGGAGTTCTTCTTTTACGCGGGACATTTCATTGCCACTCTACGACTCAGAAACTCTGTAAACTGATATCAGTAGGCTAGCTGTGATGGTCGTTTCCTTTTAATAGGGAGCTTAAGCAGCGACGTTTTTGAGCGACGCACGTCAACCGGAAGTGAGGTATTTTCCCTCTTAACATGCCTTGATGATACAAAATTTGTATTCCTTAGCTTCTTTACTGTTATAGAGGCGATTTGACTGAAAATTTGCGCGAAACCACCGTCAAAAAATGAAAAAAGGCCACTTCCGGTTGACGTGCGTCGCTCAAAAACGTTGTTGCTTAAGCTCCCTAATAGGGAGCTTAAGCAGCGACGTTTTTGAGCGACGCACGTCAACCGGAAGTGAGGTATTTTCCCTCTTAACATGCCTTGATGATACAAAATTTGTATTCCTTAGCTTCTTTACTGTTATAGAGGCGATTTGACTGAAAATTTGCGCGAAACCACCGTCAAAAAATGAAAAAAGGCCACTTCCGGTTGACGTGCGTCGCTCAAAAACGTTGTTGCTTAAGCTCCCTAATGTCTTGACGTTAACACCTTCAAAAGAAGCAATCAGACAGGTGAAAATCTCTATCCCTCTGAAGGGAAATCTAGTGTGACCGCAACTGATGTCTTTTGTCTCATTCCAGGTGGTGGTGGTGCGAATTCTCTTGGTAACAGGAATGGTAAGGAGAACCGGGTCCAGTCCTCTAAACAGCGGAAGTCTAAAGAGGAAGACAAAAACAAAGGCAGCTTATCTCAAATTGGAAACATAGCGTCTTCTTTGCACGAGCTGAACGCTCGCCTCGAAGAACAACAACGCCAAGAGCGCGGACGACAATCCACGAACGGAGCTGAGGCCCGAAGTTCTCAAGGGGAAGGGCCGGACGAATCCGTGACGCGTGACACGACTTGCGCTCGGTCACACTCCTCACCGGCAAATGGTCATAACTAGAGCGTGCAAGCGTAATAGTTTGGTATGGCATGCTAAAAAAGGGAGCAAAAAAGGTTTTAATTCAATAAATGTACTCTGTATGTGTTTTATTATCCTCTGCGTTGCAATATAACTGCCTTTCATGCACGTATGCGTAAACATTTAGCCTTTTAGTTGTGGATAAACTTACATCAGAACTTTCATTATCCTCGAAGACCCAGGGGTAGTCAGTCGAGTGTGGAGCGAATACGCGACGAACGTTTTCAAGCACGGGCAGAAGAGCCCCTTGATACCGACTCTCACCAGACCAATTCCAAACTAGCCTGTTCGCAGAGCCTCTATTTTCTCTTCAAAGTCCGTCTAGCGCGCGTGATAAAAAATAAAAACCGCGGGGAATTTATTGACCGCCAGCGTAAGGGGGTAGGGGCGGGGGAAGAAGAAAATATTTATTTTTCTTTCTCGCTCGCTCGCGCGCTCGCCAATATTTTCCAAAAGAACGAAAATAAAAATAAAACAACGTCTGTGTACAGGCTATTTCCATACGGTCAAGCGAATGTCGGCTCCTGATGAAGCACAAAAATACTCTGTATTGTTGCTTCTCTTGAGTTCTTTTCCTGTGTTTCTACACGACGATTATTGTTTCACCATAATTGCCCGGTTCGTTCACAAAGGTTGTGCGTGAAAGGGAGATTTTTATGTTCTACTTTCCTAACCAGAAATTTAAGGTGGCTGAACTCAGTTTTGCGGGCGGTCAGCGGTAACTCACGTGACGGCGCGTGTTTTTAATTAGACAAACAAACATGGCGGCGAAAAAGCAATGGTACACTAAAGACGATTTCTCAAAATCTACTCATTAAAATTTTTTGATATGTGGCGGAATTTTTGCTTTTATTGTATTCTAAATAATGAAAACTTTAAAAGGGAAGTTGAACAGACGAATTTTGTGACACATGTAATAATTACAGTACAATTATATTATTGATTATCTAAAAACCCGTCTGTTAAAATTTGGTCAAATAAGTTTCAAATGGTATTGATTAATTATAGTAAGCTTTGTGCAAGTTTATAGGAAAATCTAAGGAACGAATATTATGTAAACTGAGCAAAAGTGAAATTGTAAGGTTGTATTCAATCGTTCATGTTGCCATGGAAACTACGAAAACATCAATTTTACCTGTCACTCAAAATCTTTCATCAGTATAAGTTTTAGCTTGTGAGCTGCAACCTTTCTCTTGCCATGATTTGGCAAATGACATACTCTCACAAACTGCCAAAACTGTGTTCAGCCAGGGGCTCTTCCGCCCGTGCTTGAAAACTTTCGTCGCGCCTTTTTTCTGGACCCGACTGACTGCCCCTTGGTCTCCGAGGAGGAACTTAGACTCATTCGCAGTGGAACGTGTTCTGTTTATTACCCATGCAGTTCATTGTGCTCTCTGTGTCTCGAACGAACCGTGTGAATTACTATATTATATACAGTAATTTGAGTCCTTTGTATTGTATAATTATTGCAATTAGTGCTAATTAACAGTTACAAACTATAACCTTTTTTTTTCTTTTTTGAACAGCCCTTTTTCTCGAGAATAATATGTTTTTCCAAACTTTCTACGAGGTTTAAATTAGACATTCTCCAGCAGCTGTAATCGTGATAACGTGAAAATAAATGAAGTGGCCCGTTTCCCCCGACCACATTAGCCTGCGAACGCAGACGTATTTCCGATCGTGGCCTCTCGGGTACTCGTTTGTCGGGATCGTGTGTTGTCTTTGTCGGCGGCCACGCGGCGACGGATCACGATGGTTGCAGTCTAGTCCTGATTTAAACAAACAAACAAAAAAACAGATTCTGGTAGTTACCGTTGTGTTTTGTTTCGTAGCTTTTCAAACCTTTTTCGAAGGTATAAAACTGCGCTTTATTTGCCAATCTCGTTCCCAGGAGTCCCTACTACCCTTGGAAGGGAGCTTAAGCAACGAGGACGGTGACGCCAGTAAAAACGTCGCTAAAAAAGTGAATTGAGATCCTTTCAAACTTAATCGCGTCTATTTGGACCCGCTCAATTTGTTTCCTTTGGTTGATTGGAAGGAAAAGAGAGAAGGTAGCGTCCGCAAGCCTTTGGTTGAAAAGGCCTACTCGTGTCAATCGAGAGAACATAAAAGCCTCTTGAGTCAACCAATCACCCACGTTTACTAAGAGGCAATAATTCGGGGCAGAAATAATGGCGTGACGACAGCTTTCAAGTGGCAGAAGAGTTTGAGCCTTAAAGATACAGTATTTACTGACAATTGTATTATGATAAGCCGAACAAAACTGCTTTAATACAGAATGTGTGTGTGTGTGTGTGTGTGTGTGTATGTGTTTGAAGTGTTATCTCTATAACAACAGTTATATAATAAATACAACAATTAAGATAAACAAGCAAATCAATGAAGTTAATCAATTCCTTGCAATATCTAACCACTTCGCAATTAACTTCCCAGGAGCCCGGAGGATACACGACAAACGTTTTATACGGGGAAGCTCCGCCCCGAAGGTTTAACCCCTTACCCTTTAGCCCCTTACACCCTAAGATCAAAATTTGAAATCTCATTTGTTGCCCCTATTCATTTCCTAAAGAAGTAGTGGGAAGAAGTTGATAAAATATCCAGCAAATTCATCTTGTGTGATCATGTCCGTAATTCTCATGACCACTCTGTTATACAAAACATTGATATTACAAGGAGAAATTTGATGCTGATCACTCTTAGGGCTTAACAGAAAAGGCACCCCTTTCGTCTACCTCCAATTTACAAATTGTACCCCATTCACAAACCTAGATATTGAAAAGTATTCTTGTTCCCTAACATTAATAAAACGGTCATGCTCCCTCGTTCCCAAAAAACCTGCAGAGGCGGCTTGTAGTTAACCATTTAAGCCCCAATATACACATAAAAATTCTCCAAACTGTTCTCTAAACATTTTATTAAAGAATGTATTGAGAGAATTTGATAAAAGATCAAGGCATTTTCTCTTAGGTGATCATTTATTAATTCTCACAATCTTATCTCTTGACAATGTATGGGTATTGTTAGGAGAAAATTGATGTTGGTCACCATTGGGACTTAAAAGGTTAAAAAGTCAAAAAAGAGTTTTTTGTGTTTGGTTGAGGGAAATATTTTCTCGGAGGCAATTCTTAGGGCCGGATCAGACGCCGAACTTTTCATGTTCCGAACCTAATGTGTGAATTATTATAACATATTTTGCAAGACGTTTGACCGAAATGAGCATTTTTCTCCTTTTGAATTTTGCTCGGCTGGAGATCGGCGTCTGAATCAATTCAGCCGATCTAAATAATTTGGGTCGGCCTTAATTCCAATTATTCCTCATAAAAAGTTCGGCGTCTGAACCGGATCATACTCAAAAAGGTTTTCTGAACTGCTGACTCCGCAAAAGGTAAGGGTTTGATATTCTTTTCACCAATTCAGACACTGTTCATAGGAGTGATCGAAAGAAATTCTAAAATCGCTTTGGACTGGGAAAACCAGAGGGAAGGCAAGAACAAACCATGTAAAAAACCGTTGTTATTGAGATTTCCGATCTGCGACCAGTTTTAAAATGCTTTAAACCTCTCCTGGCATCTCCGGGGTATAACAGTCGTCCAAAGAGGAATTGAGGACAATGCTTACACAAAATTTTGGAGCGGGGGAGGGGGGGGGGGTCGAGTGGCAAACAAGGTGTATCAACGATGATGGCAAATGAACAATTTCATGAGTCAGCGTGCATATCAAAACATGCATCTAGTTAACTAAAGTGGACTGGTTGGAAAACCCTTTGTTATCGGTTTTTAGCTGGTTTTTGTTAGCTTTTTTGGACCTGACCGTGCACAACGTTCTATAGCATTCCTATCATTTTGAATTTAGTGACCAATAGGGACCATTAAATTATTCATTCATAATTTGTGAACAGAAAACAAAGGGTTGTGCACGATCAGGGAGCTTCAAAGACCTACGGCACTATTGTTTTCAACTTTGATATTTGCCGGGTTTCCTAACCAGTCTCCTCTACTAACTATGGTATGAAGCACGCTGGAAGTTTGTAGAGCACGAAAGAGGCGTAACAGTTGCTCGAGGAGCAGTCGAGAGCAATTAGAAAGCTTTAGCAACGGCGACGGCAACGGCAACGAGAAAGACAAAAATGCAATGGGTTTGTTACGCAAAACAACTTTGCACGTGCATCACGCTTTTTTGTACATTTCTTTGCCGTCACTGCACGACTGTGAAAATGCCTGATTTCACGCTTTATGGAGGACGTAAACAAGCGACCACAAATTTTTCTTTCTCTTTCTAAAATCTGAGTGCAATTCCCAAGAAATCAACTCTAGGGAAATTGGCCTAGTGACATTTTCAGCGGATTGGAATAAACGCGACAATGTTTTTCAAAGTGACGTTTTCGCTGCCGTCGCCTTCGTCGACGCTAAAGTTCCCTATTCTAGCCTCTTGAGTGCACTCTAAGCTTCCCAAGTGCTAATATCTCGGCATACGCACGCTGTGAGCAAATTGTTTTATGACATTTTTGATGCGATCAATGCGGTAGATAATTATAGCGCATGCTCAAAGTAGTATGCATCAGTGTCCACGTGAGATGGGTGCTACCAACACAAACCACCCAGGTGGAAAGTCTTCTCTCCGGCCGCCGCCATGCTGGAAATCGAGGAGACCATGGGGACAAGGTTGGTGGAAATCTTGTAGGAGCCCATAACACGCAGCGTGCAACTCTCCCACTTAGCCCGCACTTAGCCTATGCAACGGCGTTTTCACAGGTCAAGTTATTTTTAGCATCATTTTGGAGCACTTTTTCCGCGAAAATTGAAGCACCGTTCCGTATACGTGGGCATCCATAGTACGATAAAAAACGAAAAGAAGTAGATGCTATCAAAGCATCAGAAATACTGTCTTCAAGTCTCCGGTTTTGCCGATTAATTTGTAATGAATTACTTGATATTGCTCGCTTCTGATTATGGGCTCCTGGTCTTGTAGATAAATATAAAACTCGATGAATCTTGACGTGGTAAAAGAGCAACCCGCCTGCAAATACAAAGTACCGTAAAATTCCGAAAATAAGCCCCTCCAAATATAAGCCCCCCAACTTGTAACGCAAAAAAACCCTCCGTTAAATCGCCCCTCCAAATAAAAGCCCCCAGGGGGCTTGTTCTTAGAAATTGCCTTCAAGTACAAAGTAAAACAAAGCAAAAACGGTAAATTTGCTTCCAGCTATAAGGCTAACCCAATCGATTTTGAAACTTTAATTTCTTCTCCATAGATAAGCCCCTCCGAATATAAGCCCCTGAAAAAGCGCCTTTGAAAAAGTCCCGGGGCTCATTTTCGGAATTTTACGGTATATCCGAATCTGCTGAAAGGAATTAAAGAGTGGAAAAATTGAGTCGCCTCATATCACAGTCCATTAGTTTCTGAAGCTTCCCAAACGGGAATGGCGCGAGCCATTTGATTTTCCAACAGGAATTTCCATATTCACCATGTAAATGGCACTGGTACCCCAGATTTTGTTTTTACCTCAGTTTAAGTACCGAAATCGTTTTCCAAGATATTGAGAAACAAAACCAGTATTCACCGAAAATGTTTTTTTTTCTGAACGAAAATATTTTGCAAAGAGTGATTGCACACTCCGTAGCGCAACAATCATCGTTTACATGGATACACTTATACTTACCACACTTTACTTGTAGCGACTTGGGTGACCTGTGGTTAACTTCGAGAAAAAACCGAAGCTTCTCATCCGGGTAATTCTTTCCGATATCACGTGATATTCTGTGGCTCTCATGTCGTCATATTTGTTTTGGTCTGAGGAAGTGCAGAGTTGCAGATTTCGAAGGATTACTAAGCAGAGAACATCGATAAACACGTTTTCACAGCTCAGAATCTCATTTTAAGCTCTGATAAAGCTTGTCCAGATGACCAGTACGGTCAAAGTGAAAGCGGAGTCTTCCACTATCACTCGCCGATTCGAGATTGACTCCGAATGCTCTTGGGATGAACTGAGATTACAAGTAAGTTCTTTGTTGTTTCTTAAAGATTTTCAGATACAAAAGCGTTGTTATCCTATTGAAGGCTCGCTGACAAAGTTTCTTGTATCTTTCTTTATTTAGATTAGACGATTATTCGACTTGCAAGACGACTTTAGTTTGAAATATATTGATGATGAGGATGAATTGGTAAGCATTTAGCCACCAGGCTGTTACTTGTATGTAAGCTAAGCCTATAGCTGCGTCATAATTTCTGGCATATGCAGCAGATTAACATGGTTACAATGTTTTAAAGATAGCTTATAACGCGAGTTTGTTTATAACTTCATTATTATACTCCGATCCTAAACGCATATGCATTTGCAATGATGCTAAGCGCTCTAAGCTAATGATTTTTGTTTGTTTCTTGAATTCAGGTCACATTAGGAACGCATGGTAAGTTAAAACAAAAGTCATTTTTCTATTATTCTAAGCCAGTATTTTCTTCTAGCATCGACCCATTTTATTTTTAACTAATGAATTGTGTTCATTCAGCTTGCACTGCTAGCTGGTCCCTTTCAGTATTGAAAAACTGATATCATTTTCGAAGTGCAGTTTTGTTTACCATTTTAAGCTTACTGTTTAAGTCTCATGTAATTTTAAAATACATTTTAACCTTATAGAAACGTAAAATTATGCAGTGTTTCTTGTCTATTCTGGTTTATCTTTTTCTGAACTTCATTGCTTGTTGCAGTCATTATTTAGATGTTGAAGACATACCTTGCAACTCTCATAGAAAGCCAAAAGTCAGAAGAGTTTTAAATTCTCAAATTCATTTAAAGTATTGAAGACAAGCATTGCCTTCCAAAATACTACCTGAGATGTGAATGGTCACAACATTGGTTTTTGTTAACCAAAGTCTACCACAGTTTATACCTTCATAAAAATTATAATTATTTTTGTGTAAGATATGTCTGTGAATGTTTTAATCTAAGGTATGAATGCTAATTGGTGAAAAACTGAACCAGTGAATATAATATTATGACACTTTCAGTTACAAGTTTACTCAGTTTCCCCAGCCTAAGTAAACAAGGGATGTTTTACTGGACATCCTGTTTATCCCAAGTCATCAACCTTTGTAATAAATTTAGCCATCTTGCAAAGCAAAAGCAGTCAACGATGACAGTAACCCCAATATTCGCAGCTTACAGGCTGAAGCAATATCAGTTTTAAAGTAGGAATTAATGTATGAATTAAAAAAGTAACAAAGAAATCCCTTTCCAAGATATACATGACTACTGTATGTACTGTAGAAAAATTATACTTGACTACAATGATTATCTTGAAGCTGGCCTACTATGAACCAGATGTAGTAATCTTCTTTTATTTTGTTTAACTTAGTCGTGATACAGTGAACCCTCATTAAAACAAATTATTTCCTCATTTCTTGATTCTTTGTTATATTGATGTTCAGCTAGAACTGTAACCAGTAAACTTCCTTTCTCCAAGGTCAGATACATAGAAGCTAATGTCATTTCTCCAGACTGAACTCCATACTGTCCTTTAAAGAATAAGTTGAGAAAAATAAACATTGACGAAAGAGCGAAGCATTTTCCTTTAGGTGAACATTTTTAGTAATTGTCATTTTCTTTTGACCTCATTATATTTGGATTCTGATGGGAGAATATTGATTTTGGTCACTCTTGGATCTCAAAAGGGTTAACTGCTAACATGTGGTGTTCAAATTCAGAAGTTGATCACAAAATTGGCTGCATATTGGCCCAAGTGGTTACTCCAGTGTTAAGATTTATACAACTTCCTTAGAATCTTTGGATTGATCGTCAAAACAGAGTTAAGTGACAGCCTGTACTTTACATAGTTAGGTTTTGGTATTGATCATTACAAGTAGAGAGAAGTTGCTATAAAAATTATTTATCTGACAACATGCATTTTTATTGTTTCTAGGTGAGCTGGAGGAAGCTTTGAAGGTATGCTAAGAATGTCATACATGTTCATGTACCATACTTTACGACGAAAAACAGAGTCAGTTAAAAATGTGGTAGATGGGGTAATTTAAAAACAAAAATGTGAGTTAGCATAAATGACTCTATAAACTGATATGCATTATAATATATAATATATTATGATGTGTTATCCATTTATAGTAAAGAAAGTATTTTTGTAAAGACAGACTGCAAAATGTGCATGTCATAAACATCTTTGGCATTCATGTTCAGCTGCAGCTGCTTGACCAATGAATGTTGTTTTATTTTTTCAACCAATTAAGGATATATCACACTTTCAAAGTCAAGTTTTTCTGCCACGGGTGTTACAGTTTTTTCCGGCTGAGTTCCAGCAAAACCCAGTGGTTATAACTGATGAGAAGAAAAGGCAATTCACTTTTCTTGGAAATTGTGTTAATTTTAGTCTGCACACTTCTTCCGTCATATTCTTAATCAGGGCTGACTCTCAGGCACTAGTTCAATCCCCGCCTAGCTGCTCGCTGGAATTGTCCTTGGTAGTCCTGAGTTCACCTCCTCAGTCACCCGTGTAAATAGCCAACTGTTTCACCTCCAGCCAGTTGGCATGTTAACCTTGTGGGCCACAATAAATTTATTAAAGAAAACTACTGGGTTACTAGTAACTGTGTTACCCTGTTAAGTCAGGTTTTTCTGTTTAAAAAGTCTCAAAATACTTCCCATCGGTTAAATTCTCTGCTTACCAATTCCACATACCCAGTAAGTTGAAATTGTACTGACACCCCTGTATATAGGCATAGGGCTTGAAGAAAATTGAAAATTGAAATAAATGTTACCTTGTCCTTAGGATGAGCAGTGTGCAAATATATTTTTTCTGCTCAGCACTCTTTTATCCTTGTCTAAGGTTAGGAATAATTAAAAAGAAGATGACTTGTCTAGGTCTTTGCACACTGACCAAGTGATCATGAAAAATTACTTACATGTACCTGGAAGGAGAATCTACTTCTCCTGGTTGACCAAATGGGGCTTTTTTGAGCTCTGAGAATTTCCTATTTTCTCTTGTTTCACTCTGAAAAAATGTCTCATTTTCAACACATAAAGCCAATTTATTGAAAGTGAAGCAAAGGCAGGAAATGACAATCAGGTTCATGACAGGGTACACACTGTACATCAGAGTAGCTAGTCTTTAAACATCACCTCTGTGATTCATGTGCATTGCAGATACCGGGACGCAAAGAAAGTCAGTTTTAGAGTTTGCCATTTGGGCAAGCTGTGCAGGGGTTAGCTAGCATGTTCTATCCCAGAATTCATTTCAACTAGCCAGAAAAAATCTTAATGAGCAGGATTGGTTTCTGTTTTTCTGTAATTTGAATTCCTCAGAAAAATTCACATGCCTGTTGGAAAGTTTAAGAACAAAATTCACTGGCTTAATAAAAACTACTTCCTTTGCATCCAGGGATACTTGTTAATGACCGATAATTTTTTTATCAATTTTCACAGGTCACCCAGAAAACAGGCTTACTAAGGCTGTTTGTGGAAAGTTCTTCTGATCAAGGGCCTCTTGTGGGAATTGAAAGTTTTGAAGACTTGCTTGGTGAACCCACTAAAGAGACACTTGTAGTAAGTATGATTATTAGCTACATTGAATTAGGCTGAGTAGGATGTGAAGAATTATGCAGATTGAGGAGGATGTTATTCAATGAAGCTGAGGGGGATAACATCCTCTGAGATCTGCATAATTCTTCACATTAAAGGAAAGCTGAATTCAATAATAAATAATAATTATAATAATTGTATTATATAATAAGGAAACAGTTCAATACTTTCAAAAAAGGAATCTTGTATTAAAACTGACCTATGACAAACATGCATTCGTTGCGTGTTTCTTCTGTTGGGTAATCAGGACAAAAAAAGTTTTTGGTTTAATGAGATGATAATAGTTCCTCCTTCACGACTATAAGAAAAAAAGTCAGACTTCTGAATGTTGTTTCAGTGGAGAACACTTCAAGTGATGCCTCAGCCAGGGGCATAAGTCACAAAACAGCAGGCTCTCGAAATGGGTCCATTAAAACCTTATCAACCACCTCTCACAAAGTAAAATCAAGTAGGAGAAGTTGCCCTCTACACAAGAAAGATCAGGAAATTAATGATCAGTTAATATTTTAACAAGAAAAGTGCACCCGACTGTTTAAGGCAACATACCTTCAGCCAAAAAGAAGGAAACGTAAACAAAGCAAACATTAGAGAAAGGCCAAGAAAGCAAAACAGCACAATATGAAGACTAATTGTAAACTGATAATTATGAGAACCATTACACCGTAGCATAATGATGGTGATGCAGAGCCCATAGGCCCCCTAGAACTCTGTTATGAAGTAATTAGCACTCTAAAAAAGAATCAGTTGCCTCAGTTACATCTAAATGCCTTTGACAAGAGACTGTTCACTGTCACTGTAAAGGACATTATCAAGCAACCTTTACCATGAGTGAGACTGAGGATGATCATTATGGCAATAATATAATGTTGTTGATTATGATATTCATGATGTCACCAATGCTGGTGTTGATGCTGTCAGAGAGGGAAGGCAGTTTTCCTGAGACATTTAAAAATTGACCTGCAAAAGCAAAACATGAGCTGTTAGTTTTATAAGTTAGGTTCTTACACTTAAACTTTCAATAGCTTGTCTTGTTAATACAGTTGAACCCTCATTAAGCAGCCACCCTCGGGGTACTGGCAAGTGGCCGCTCAATAGAGGTTGGTCATAAATTAGTAGTAATCTTCCGCATCACTTTATTTGGAAACAGACACTTGATGGGAGTAGTAAAGATATTACTGGTCTCCAATAAGACCAATTATTAGTCTTAAACTTCTATCTCAGACTGTATTTTCCTCCGTCGTATTCTTTAAAAAAAAACCAAAAATTATCTTTTTAACTCCTGTCGATCACCTTAATGGACCCATCAGGAAAGACAGCTTGTTTTTGTGTCTTTTGTTATTTTTTTAGTTTTTTTTCAAAGTTTTTGGGGAGTCGTCACTTATTATTATGATTGACATACATGTAGCAAAAATTGAAACATTGGTTCAATTTTTTACTTAACAATAATAGTTATGCACTATTGAAAAGCACTGTAATAGAGGAGAATATATTTGTGGTTAAATTTTCGTTTGCCATTATTGATTGGTGTTGTTTTCTAACTTCAGGCTCAAAAACGTAAATTTGTGGTCAACACCACTGCTCCATTAGAGCCAAACAGCGCTTTCAAGACAGCAAAAATGGATGATCCTGCCATCTCAGAGGCAGAGAAGTTACCCCCAGACTCCTCAGAACCAGGAACCAATGTAACAAGTTCCTTTGAATTTGGATTGCCATCCAAAGAGAACAAAGAAGAAGATGAGGGTAGAACTCAGACGGTTGTGAGGCTTGTAGAATCATGGTCCTCCGTTGCGGCTGATAAAGACAACTTGCCCTTTTCAGGAGAGCAGTACACCCCTTTGGTTCAGTTGATGGCTCCCCTGCCCACTGGACAACCTCCGCAACCTCCACCACCTTCAACCAAACCCAGGAAAGGTCCAGATGGGGCTAAAGGCTGCTACACCAAGCTAGCCGAAAATGTTGCTTTTGAACTGGCAGCTGTGAATGAACAGCTTAATGAAACGTTGCGCACCTCTTTTGAGAAGCAACGGTCCGAAAATAGACGTGGGCAAGGGATGGATGAAGGAGAGGATACGTATGTGTTTGTTAATCAGCAGGGTAAGATAATCAGTTGAATAATTTTATCATCATCGTCACTCCAAGCCTACAGTAGGAAAACAATTTCTCAGCTCAAAGAAATGAACAGCTTTCCAATCCCTTGTCTGTGCCTGTAACTTGATTATTAGAATATGCAACATGATTATCAAAATATGCAACATGATTATCAAAACATGTAACATGATTATCAAAACATGCTTGAACATAATATTTAATCCAGAGAATCACGAGAAAACATGTGATGATCTTTCTTTTTTTTGTTTTCATACACGCTACACAACATGAATAACACTACCTGATCAGTCCTCAACCTTAACAGTGGTCCACTAGCCCATGATTAATAAGAAATGGGATTGGGCTGGTAAAATTTTAGAACAACTACCCACCAGGCTAGTCAAAGTAGAAAGACAATTAAAGAAAACATCAGTTTTCGTTGATCGCGGCGGACAAAAATAAATTAAGAAACTTATCCAATAACTCCATTTGTGATAAGTGGGACTGGTAGGAGGACTGCACACTAGTGGGACCCAGTAATAATTTATTGTAATGTGATGATCACCATCTTGATTGGGGCCTTGGTCAACATGGAAGAGAATAGACTCTTTTTTCAAGAAATGCGACACTCCTAAGAGGAAGCAGCGTGTCGAATGCTGAATGGACAAGCAACTCAAGCTCAGACTTTGCTAAAGAAGCCTGACACTTTCAGTTTCATCCCAAGTGGAAAGCAACATTTCTTCTAGTACTTTTTCTTTTAACTTGATATTTTTCTTTGATTATCACTAATAAGCAAGAGCTTTCGTTGTTTCTAGTTATCTCACAAAATAAGCAGCAAAATTATAAGTATTCAGACAATTAATCCAGGCTTAGACTTGCCTCTTTTGAGCTCAGTAAGTGTGCGGCAAGAGCAAACATTTTCGCGTGACCTTCCATACATCCCCTCTGTTTTATCAACCCGCATACATACGGAAAAATTACGCAACAGTGGAAATCCTCCCTAAGGGTCAGAGGCTAGGGATTTCTTATAACTGTCAGATACTTTCATAGGAAAATCCATGTCGTTTATCATAATATTTTACTATTTATAATGTTTTTCTACATGACAAGTACACTCAGTAGGTATGAATTAAACTTATTTTTTGTGTATGGTTTTTTTTTTTTGAATAAGGCAATCTGTTAGAAACTGATGAAGACATGACCCTAACAAATGAGGTGCTTAATTCCTCTTCTAATCAGTCCGGAGAAACAGAGGAAGAAAGCTTAGATGATGAGAGTCCTTGTTCACCACAGAATTCTCTTGCTTCTGACGGCAATGGCTTTGATCACACGTCAATAGAGCAAACTGTTCACCGAGTTGTTCAAGAGGTAAAATTAATATAATGGTCAAGAGACTTGTAGCACAATACTTATAATATGTACACTCCTTTAGAAAAAGATTTTAATTGTAGTTAAGTAACATAATGTTGAAATATTTAGCAAGTCAATGACAGTTTTCACTGCAGTGGTTTCACTGCATAGTTTTACAATAACATTGATAGTTTTGGACGTCTATTTCCATTGAAGTTTCTTGGAAAATCCTGCAGGGGCAAGTAGAGAGAAAAATGACAGAAATGCATCACCATCATGCCTTTTCCATGGTCTGCACTTTTATACACCATCGCTCTCAACCAATCAGTGCATGCAAAATCAATCAGTTATTGTAAAATATTATTCAGAAGAATTTGATAGAATAAGCAATCATGGAGATCCGTGAAAATAGATGAAAATTCAGCATGTAATGTGTAACAACTTATTTGCTTGTAATAGTTAGTATTTTAAAGCACAGTGTATACATTTTAAAAAATCTCAAATCCACATTATCTTGGTGAATGTTGAAATACTACCTACATATTATAGTTCTTTATGGTTTTCAAACTTCTTCAGTATGGATATCATTATCATGATCACTAGTAATGGTAACAGGGCTGATCTGAGCTGGAATCCAATTTGGTCAGTAATCATACAAGTGATTAACAAAATCGGACCACTGCGTAGTGGAAGTCTGATTTGTTTAATCACGAGTGTGATTACAGACTGAATTGGACAACACAAAGTTCTGTTACCAATTAATCATAACTTTAACTAAATTTGTGATATATAAGGCTCTTTTTAAAATCAAAGAACAAGAAATTTTAAGATTATTTTTTGCTAACAGTGAAAAAAAAAAGCCATTTAAGCACGTGTGTGATGGTGCGTACTGTCCAATTACTTGGGCATGACGTGCATTGTCCTATTAGACTGTCCAATAAAGGCTGAAATCATAGTAGTTGATAACCAATCAAATTTGAGAATTTTGTTATAGTTATGATTAACATTATTATTGATTGTGCCTTTTAAATTTTCTTTATTCTTCTTATTATTTTAATCTTTCATTTTTTCCTTCGGTTTTTTTACAGTCATTGCCACTCATTGTGGAACAAACACTGAGGAATCTTCAAGGACTTCATTTAGATGATCAGAAAGGCAACTCATTTATCGGACAAAGTCCTGCAAAATCAAATGTTGCCAAAGGTATAACTTTTGTTGTCATTCATTTTTTCTGTCGTACTGTAAACCAGAATTTTTGCTATTCAGGTTAATGATACTTTACCCTAATGCTAACTTGTCCACATTTTATTAGTTCTCCACAAAGGGATATTCTGCGCAGAATGTAATCAACCTGTTGTTGGAATCCGATACAAATGCTGGTAAGAAATTAATACATATTTGCGTATTAACCAAACTATCCAAAGGTTAAAGAGTGCAGGGGACAATGACTAAAATGCCCTTGCTCCAATGCTGTGCTTTTCAAAAGTTTCTTGTGATTTATTAAGATACTATTAGATGGTCAAAAGATTTGTGAAGAGGTTACAAGTGATAAGAGGTTTGTGGAAGTCCAGACAAAGCTTGTTAGATACATGTATATATGTTGTGGTTCAAATTTAATCTTTGGTTTGAATTTTTTTAAACTGGTTAGAAATTTTTAAACACATAACTCGTTCTCATTTATTTGTACCTCTCCTGGTAAATTACGGTGTAAAATATACTTGTGACATCAACTTGGTTCCACATTGTAGTAAGCATTTTAGCAATTACGGTTAAGCATTTATTTCAAATGGTTAGCTTTCATGTAAGTTTATGGCCACAACACCATTTCAGTGATTTTTGTTACCTTTGCATCCTGCATCCCTGACACATAAAAATTCTCAAAGACACAAAATAATTTGTGGTATGTGTCCCATAGGATGGAAAGATCAATTGATCAATCTGAAGACGTTTAAATTGTAGAATCATATCCTGTTTTTGGGTGATTTGCTGTGACTGTTCTTGTCGCTGTTGTTTAATGACACATATTTCTTGTAGTATTTCTTTTGCTTGACAATAGAAGGAGTATATTTTTATTTCAGTAAACTGTGATATGGAGTTTTGGAGATTAACTGTGTGGTTACATTGGGACTTATTGGAAATTATAATGACTCACTCTTCACAGAGAGTATGATTTATAAATGAAGGTACAGTTAACTATTATTTTTGTTTACAGCTTTTGCACAGACTATGACCTGTGTGAAGATTGTGAGGCAGTGGATGGAATTCATGATTCAAACCATTTCTTTGCAAAGCTCCACAATCATGTACCTGGAATAGGGAGAAAAAATGGAGAGATGGTGCCAATATTGAAAAAGTCTGTGTATCGAACAGTCTTCAAGGAAGAATTAAAGAATGAATGGAAGATAGAGAAAAGAAGGGATAGAGAGGAAAGAAAAGAAGAGAGAAGAAAAGGCAAGGAGGAACGAAAAGTGGAGAAAAGGAAAGATAAGGAAGAAAGGAAGGAAGAGAAAAAGCGGGATAAGGATGAAAAGAAGGAGAGGAAAAAAAAGGAGAAGTACTACAAGGCTATCAGACTGGAGGAGAAGAATAAAAGAGAAATAAAAAGGAAACTGAGAGAGATGTAAGTTCCTAGAAATTGTGGAATGCCTTTAAGTTCCGAAAGTAATGACCCCTCAAAAGTAGCGAACCTCTCAAAGTAGCGATAAGATGTCACAGGTGTTAGCAAATCCCAAAAGTAGCGATAGATATCCTGAACAAATGCCACACTGATTGAGGTTTATTAATGGTGATTATTTGACATTCCTATTCATAAATCTTAAAATACGGGATATATACGAACATTAGCTTTTTTCAAAAAGTATTCCTTTCAGTCTTTGCAATTTTATTTTTTGAAGTGCCCATGTGGAGTACACGTTTTAGCCATCCAAAAGTAAGGACCTCCCCCCCCCCCCTGAAAGTAGTGAGCCTCCAAAAGCGTTGATAGCAGAAGGATGCTAAATTCAAGAGTAATGAGGGTCATTACTTTCGAAACTCTACGGTAGTCCAGTTTTGAATTCGTCTCAATCACTGAATAGAAGCTCTGAAGACTCGTTTATACAGGGTTAGCCTTAACCTAAAGTTAAATATTCACAAAATACTGGCAAATTTGAGTTAAAACCAATGGACTCAGATGTACACAGGTCTTCTTCTGACTAAAATTTGTGAATATATTTACGTTAGGTTGAGGCTTACCCTGTATAAATGAGTCTTCAGTGCTTCTATTCAGTGGCTGCAACGAATTTGAAACTAGACTATTGCCATAGAGAAAGTGAGAAATAATGTTTTTGGAATGAGTGATAAATGTGACCTTCTTTGGGAAAACGTACACTAACGATATTTCGTTATCGTTAGAAAACTAACGGATAGCTAACGGATAGCTAACGGCTTTTCTAACGTTCTAACGGTTTGTCCAAACGTTCTAACGGTTTGTTCTGACGTTCTAACGATTTGTCCAAACGCTCTAACGATTTGTTCTAACGGTTCGTTCTAACGCTCTAACGATTTGTTCTAACGCTCTAACAGTTGAATTGGTGGAAGTAATCGAGCGCTATTCCCTATTAAGCAATCTATTAACGGCTGGTTCATCTTGTTGTTATCAATGTATTGAGCGAAAGTTTTAAGTACAGCTGTCGATCGATAAACGGCTGAAAATTGAAAGCATCAAAATCACTAGTGATGTGATCAACGAGTAAAATAATAATCGAAATCGACTTGCTCTCGAAACGACTGCGCTTCAAAACAGGCCGTCCAATTTCTCCTGGAATGAAACTTCTACTGCATCGTATTGACAAGAACTACTGTTTGCAAACACGTATCTTGACTTGGGACTGTAATGTTTCCAAAAACTATATCAAGCAAGCCCCTCGATGTCTGATGAAAGTTTTTAACAAGATGCCGTATCGGTTTCATAAACAACTTTATGCAAATTTCGGTTGAAATTTGACTCCCGGGAATTTGAATACGCAGTGAAGCGTTGTGTGACGGACAACACATGAATAAAAGCTGTATTGAATGATTGTAGACTTTTTTAATTACTAGAGAGCCTCAGTTATTTGGGACTACAAATCAAATGGAAAAAAAATTAAAATCCCAAACCTTTCCCAGCCCATGCCTCTGTTCAATATCAGCATAAAAAGCAACTCGCGTGTTCATTAATCTTTTTTATTATCGACATTGTTCTAAAACGATTACAATCTGTCCTCTAGAAAAAGTCATATACAGGTACTATGACTCGGCCATCGTGAGTGGCTACCAGTTGAGCTTTGTTGACTCCTGCGTTACTTGACGTGTCCACCATTCTAGCAAGTTCATAAAGTGAAGAAATAAAACTGACTTTGAACGACTTCTTAAGACTCCCGAAACAACGATCTGGGCCAAATTTAGTATGTCCAGCAATGAGAAAGGAGTAGTTTATATTACGATGAAGTTCAGTTGCAGTCCGCCATGCTAAATACCATAAAAAGTAATTGTTTTTGTTCTGTCCCGAACAATTATCAGCATTTAAGTGAACATCTGTTTCCCCCAGACCATGACGCGAAAAGAAGTGATGAACGTAACTTATTGTAGCATTGGCCCCCTTACCAACAGTCGCAGCTTCGTCAATTAAATAGTTTACTTGACGGGGTACACCTTCGCACATGACTCCGAAAATTCCACATTTGCGAGGGGTCTTAAAATAGATCGGCCCGGGTTGCATCGGGTTGCTTGGAAAGTGGACTTGTTGCCCCTTTCGAACCACGCGAACATCCACAGCCTTCGCGTAGGAATTTTTTAGCTCTCTCGATTACCGCGTTAGGAGTTTCTTCTCTCACTATACTTTCGGTGTCTGCCATACTTTGTCACTTTCGTGTAATGCACGCGAGTAAACAAGTGCACGCCAGTTAAAGTGTCATTTGTTGTCATGGAAATTATACATTTGCGTGCCGATTCCGCTTGGGACTTGGGGACAGTTTTGTTGTTTATTGAACGCGAGCTGCAGTGATATTGCGATATTCTCTTATCTATTTTTTGTCTCTTTCTGTCGCCGCTTTAAGCCCCGACAAGCGGCTCCCACATTACATTAAAGCGGCATTCAATCGAAATTAAGTTTTAGGACGGTTACATATACTTGGCAAAGTCTGCCACACAGCCACAGCCATTCTTTGTGTTGAGCGTTGCGTGACGACACAAAGAACTGTTGTGTAGCAGAACGAAAAGTTGTTTTATTTCGTCTAAGTCTATCTTTTAAAAAGAAATTGCCACAAAACGTACCAAAAAGGAGAAGGACATAGATACAACCTGAATAAATGATCTAAGAAATCTCCGAGTCAACTGAGTGTACCGTTCGTATCGAGATCGAAAACGGAACAATCTGATCAATAGTTGTAGATGCAAGAAAAATTTGCATATATCATGTGTAATTTCAATTAACCAACAATGGATCTTGCTTGCTTGCATCTTTTCATTTAAAAATACACAAAACAGCAACGTTTCTAAAGGCAAAAAGATGGGAAGAAGGTCATGACTTTTATACCGAGGGTTTTCCTGCAACCATTCAATTCATTCGAGATCAATTAGCGGAAGTCTGCAGAGAAGCGGATTTCAAGACGTGTGCTTGTTTGTTTACTTCTTATCGTCGGTATCTTTTGCCTACAGCCGACGACCAAGCATTTTGATATTAATTTTTCGTTTCAAAAGCGTAGAACGGGTAGGGAATTGTGTCGTCGTTTCGTTCACTGGACGTTGGGAAACGGGTTTGGCAAGAATCACTAGTTTCAGGTGCCCGATGCGGGCCTTGTTTATAATTTCTCGTCGCCCGCTGGCTAATAAAATTGTCGTAGAAACCTCTGACGACAGGGCGCCCATAAGGCAGCGGCCTTGATCAGCAAAGCAATAGAATCGTCAGTTAACGCTTTAGTTTCCTGGACTAACGCGCTCTAACGGATACAACTAACGCTCTAACGGATATACATGAGTTGCTAACGGATTGACTAACACCTCTAACGGATACAACTAACGCTCTAACGGCTACGGATGAGTTGCTAACGAATTGCCTAACGCCTCTAACGATTTTCATTGAATCATCTAACGGATGACTAACGGACAGCTAACGGTCTAACCGTTTAACGAAATATCGTTAGTGTACGTTTTCCCAAAGAAGGTCACAAATGCTCATGAAGTCCTGAAAGATACCATTATTAGTTCTTTAACAGATGGCTCTTCTTTTAAAAAAAGAAATGGTCAAAAATTAAAATAATGACTGGGTACGTAGTTGGTGTTGACATTAGTTGATCATGAAGGGAACTCTTCCTTGTGAAACGTTGTTTAAGATGTCAATACCAAACCAACTGTGGAATTTACGCATCCTACCGATGATCCATTAACTGATACAGTATTTCCAGCAACAACAATTTGCTGTCTTTGCCCTACTAATATTGATGTGTCCCAATTTCTTTGTGAAAATTTGGGTTTTTAAATTTAAAAGTATTTTTTTCTGCCTACAACCATGTACTTGATCTCTATCTGCTATAGATATCATACTTGGCTGGCAGAAATTCCCTAATCAGTGTACCAGATATTTGATTGCACGATGAATATTTATCCTTAAATTTGATTACTGTCTATTATTGTCTTTAACAGTCGCCATGAAAGAGAGTCCGCTACTACCACGGAAAGGCTGCAAAACTGTCTGAACGCTGAGTTTATTGCAGATGCTAGTATTCCTGATGAAACAGTGTTAAAGGCAGGGCAGAAGGTTTGTCATAACAAAGGGTCCACTTTTGTGTACTAGTATAGTATGAATCAGTATAACTTGAAGAATGTAGTCCATCGCTAGCGAAAACCAGCCTTTACATGCTAGGCACTTGTCTGTTCCATTGAAGTTAAGATAATGATAACAACAACAACTACCAAACATAGGGTTTTTTTCTGGCAAAGATTTAATTGACAAAAAAAAAAAAACTACTTTTAACTTACAGTTATCCTAGTATTGCAGCTTGGTGGTAATACAGTACTGTTTGTCCTTTTGTTGAATGAGTGACACTTGTACAATATCAATTTTGTTCATTGTTAAGCTCCTGTGTTTTCTTCTGACAGTTATATTTTATTTGCTGATTTTTTTTTTTTTTTTTGAATGTGTTTTACAGTTCTTGAAGCGCTGGACTGTGAAAAATAAAGGACGCAGGTGGAGTGCAAAGACTGTGGTTAGTAAAAAAGTTACGTTATATGCAGTGCTGAGTAATAGCATAACCTTATGCATGACAGTTCTTCTGTTATTCAAATTCCTCAAAAAACATCACTTGCCCGTCAGGCAAGTTAAAAACAGAATTCACTAGCCCAAGAGCAAAATCCACTAGCCATGGGCTATCAGACACCAATTTCACTTTGCATGCTGCATGTAAGCATGCAGATTTTGAGATATGCCATCCATCAGTTTTTTTAACTGTGTTGAGCACTGTATGACTTGTGTAGTTTGATTAAAACTACCCTTTTATTACAAAAGGCTGATGTCAGCCCAGTAGGGGAAAGGCCATGAATGAGATTTGTTGCTTAAGTTTTTGCGTAATATTTGGTGCAATGTGTAGCTGACAGAGATGGAGGGCTTATTTATATGTTATGCTACGAGCAAAAAGATACAACTTTGTTTGCTAACAACTCCCAAATTGTTGGATGTTAAATGATTCATCTGTTTGCACATCCTGGACTTGCAGGTTGTTGGGAGTTGTTGCGCAAAGTTTGAAACCGGTCAAACTTTAAGCTATCTGCAAATGAACACAAAATATCCCAACAATGGCAAACAATGTTGCATCTGTTTGCACACAGTGCTTAAGTAGTATTTAGCAACTCAGACTGGCAGCCTATTAGACATTTGACATTAGACATTTGAACGACTCATGTCTACCGGAAGTGAGCCTTTTTCTCTTGTCTTGACGCTACCATATATGTATTGCCAAGGGTCTTCATTTTTATACCGATGATTTGCCCAAAAATATGTACAAAATCATGGCTCAAGAGTGCAAAAAGTCCACTTCTGGTTGGCATGCATCGCTCCAAAACATTGCTGCTTAAACTCCCTAATAACATAGATGTACAGTAGTATAGTTTTCAACCACAACAAGCATTTGTCTATAAGTGAACACTGACTAAGTGAGTAAATGACACCCTATTCACCAAAGCATAGTTATAGTCCACTTCTGCAATAATACCTGTTGTCCTAACAGCTGGGCACATGCCTTATTGATTTTAAGGGCTTACATATTGTTTTGTTTTGTTCACTGAAGTTGCAATGTGTAGAGGGTAATATCACAGTGGCATCAGGAGACAACATGGTGGAGGTTCCACCGCTGAAACCTGATGAGCAAGGTGAACTGGCTGTTCCATTTGTTGCGCCTTCCGCCCCTGGGCGTTATGAAAGGTATGTCATTGTGGCACTTCAAAAATAAAAGCTTCTAAATTAATGTGCAAAAGGATTTTCATGAAAAAGAGATTCTTAGTGATTGTGCCCAATTGCTTATAGTCCTGAACCATCATGCAGAGACGTGTATCACATCAGTAGAAGATTATGGATTTTGTCCTTAGTGGAAAGCTGGTGTCAATATTGGGTCAGGGGAGGGGTAGGCTGGCCTTTTTCCAGAATCTTATACGTATTTGGTCAATCAGTAACTTTTGATGTTGCTGTTAATATCCTCTTGCAGCAAGTGGCAGCTGTGCCATCAAAGGATTCCACATAAGATTCCATTTGGTCCACTCTTCTGGTGCCAGATTATTGTTGAAGGAGACAAAATGGAATGTGAGGTCGCCCAGAGAGAGGAGGCAGCAGGTAGGTTCATTTGATTATTTGCCTGCAGGCCTGTTGTAAAGATTATCCTCTCCATGGCCACACATGTCTTAACCTTGTTGTGTTTTCTTTGGTTTATTTGTTTTAGTCATCTGCTCAGCTCCAACAGCCTTTTTGCTGTAAATACTGCAAAAGATATAGGAATTATTTTTTTGTTATTCTCTCAAGAGGACAAAGCTTGAACATTAATCCTGTGTAATGTGTTTCCTCTAAAGAACCAACACAAGTACCAAGCCATGACACCACCTCTCTGGTGAACAGTGCATTCCTTGAAGGTGTGTCCCACCCTGTAAGAAAACTTGTGGAGCACATAGTACCCCAGGGTGGTCAGATTGAGGAGGCTGATGAAGCATCAGGATCTGATGCCTACCTGAGTTCTGAAGACACAGCAGAGTATAAGAAAGTGGCAACGCCATTAGAGTCAGTATTGGTTGCCACCCAGGCTGCTCAAGCTGCAGAATTGGAGTGGGATGCAGCAGGATGTACCCTTGACACAGATTCGTGTGACAAAGAAGAGACTGAGGAGCTTGTGTTGTGCAATGCAGTTGAAGGTAACATATGCTGCTTTAGACCCTTTGAAAAGGCTCACTTATGCCAGTTTGGCTGATTGGAATTTTGGCGATGGAGAAGCCCTATTCAAGGCTGTCACTAAAATTTCAAGTTTCTGGGTATATGCAATTAGTAGGAGGGGAATTGTACAGCTAGGGGTTCTTTTGGTTCCGTTTTCCTTTAGTTCCCTCTGAAAGTAGCCAGGTCTCATGCTCATTGTAGCTGGGGGAAATCCTCCTCCCCCCCCCCCCGGCTCTTAGTGAGAGCCCTGCTATTCCTCTTGCCAACCTTGCTGGCTCACACTGGTGGTTTCGCCACCATAATTTTCCCCAAAAGAGCCTGCCTAAGTCTAGCTGCTTTATAAATTGGACATTGGGGGTTTAAGTTCATTTTAGCCATGTGTTAGGTCCTTGTTTCATAGTTTGTCATTACATCCTGTCACAAACTCGTCAGGTTTTTTTTCCTGTTTCCATTTTTGTTCAGTTTTGATCCACAAGAAAAGAGTGTCGATCGCAACTTGTTCATTTGCCCATCCCTTCATTCGTTGATTCATTTGCTCATTCACTCATTCCTTTATTCATTCAAATAATAATTATTAAGCTAAGGGATCATAAAAATAACAATCTTTTTCATTAACAAGTCTTACAGCAAGGAGCCCAAAAGTGTGACCTCCTTTAATTGTGCAGACATTCACCAATTACAAGTCGAGGACAGTTTCCTGCTGGCTTCTGATTGGATTAAATCTGTACAAAAGAGTGTGAAAAAAGAAGTGACCACACTTTTGGGTTCCTTGCTGTAAAACTTGCCCTTGTTTTGCTAGCCTGTTTCAGGTATTCTGATAGTGGAGTGTGGCAGTAACCCGTTTTTTTTTGGGGGGGAGGGTACTGCCATATATGGGCTATATGGGTATGTGCTGCTGTGAAGGGTATGGTTTTCAATAGTGGCAGTTTACTCTGGGATAGGGTATATAAATCAGAGAGTTGGGGTCCAGAATAGGGTGTCATTTTCCATGAAACTGATCAATTGGTTGAAGATTTTAGTCTAGACAAGGGAAACCGGGAATTGCCACTCAAAAATATGAAAAAAAAAAACAAATCGGCAGTTTTAAATTTATGCAACTCAGACCGAAACCTACTCTAGGACAGGGGGGGTTTGGGAAGTTTAGTCTAGTATAGGGTACCAAAATTCAGCTGAACTAGCTCTGGTGTAGGCTAAGGGTTCCAGGGTCCCAGCGGCACATTCTCACCCAAAAATTTCCCCAGGGGCAGTAAGTCAGGGAGCATAAAAAATAAGGAGGGAGAAGGACCTTGCTATTTTTCTACTCATTTCTCTTTGTGCTGTTGCCACTATGTGAATGCCTGGAAGAGGCTTTTGTGATCCAAAAAGAGGAATAGGACAGGCCGGGAAAGGCCCAAAAAAGTAACTTAAATTAAATGTCTTTACAGATGCCGGAAGCGATGTGGAAAGCATCTTCAGTGATATATCAGATGACTTCATGGTGGTTCCCATCCCTCCCTGTTTCATTCCAGAGGCCCCCCTGACCGCAGACCCTGCGCACGTGACTGTTAGCATGACAGAATACAAGCAGATGTCAGAGAGTCATCAGGGACCTTTTTCATTGGACCTCAGTCCTCACGCTTCTCTTGAGGTAGAGCTCAAGAGTAGTTCTGCTGATGCTTGCTATACTGACCAAATGAGTGTTGCCAATGTTTCAACAATATTGGAGGGTGGTTCTACCCTTGTGGATTTAAGGGATGTTACCAGCAGTGAGACACCAATGGAGATGACATCAAGGACAAACATGGAAGGAGAACAGAATGTTTTTAATCTGGCTAGTGAGACCTTGCCTCTGCTTCCAGAGCCCCTCATCCCTGAACCAGGACTGCAGGTAACTGGGTTAGTGGAAGCAGCGCCAACCGTCGTCAACTCCACTGAGTCTACATTACCAATTACCAATGAACCTCTCCCTGCACTCGAACCAGCAGAGGATGACAACAGTGTTGTTGGAGTTGATGATGCCAATGATGCTGCACAGCCACAGCCAGAACCAAGCTCACAACCCATCGCAACCCAGCCAATGACCGGGACAGACGAGTCGCCTCCAGTAGCACTACAACCAGAGCCCTCATCATCAGTGAATGTAGCACCGACCACTGTACAAACAAGGGGAGTGGTGCAGCATATTCCCAACACCAGCAATGACTTCCCCACCGACGTCGTTAAAGATGTGTTGTCCACTGCCTTTGATGCAGTAGCCAGTGCTGGTCGAGCTATTGTGGACACTATGGACAATCTTTTCACTGGCAATCCAAAGCCAGAACCTACAGCTACTTACAACCCTGAGCAGGGATGTGAGATATCAGTTAATCAAGAAGAAGGGGACCAAATAAGAGTATGTCAAATTGCTTGTTGTGTACCATATATTTTCAACTTGAAGTTACAACTGGAGCTTTCTGCAGAATGTGTATAATTGTCCCAAAAACTATCTTCTCTCTACTAAGAGTGTTAACTCTTTACGGACTCCTTCAAATTCAAATTATTTCCCTTCTAAGGATTCAGGGAAACCAATACTTACCGCAAATCCTACTTCATACGAGTGTACGAGTGATTTATTAGCAACAATTTTGTATACTCGTGTATTGGTACATGTATATACTTCTCCCTCCCCCCTCCCTCCCCCATTTGGGCCCACAAGGATATTGCTTGTTCCAAACTAACAGCGACTTTCTCTCCCCTCCACAGGACGCTCCTGAAGTGCACTCAGTATCCTGGCCTCCTGGTAGATCGCCTGGCACGTGTCAGGAATGCTTGGTGGAGATGGGATTCTGCGATCGCAAACTCAATGAACAACTTCTGAAGAAACACAACAACAATGTGGCCCTTGTCGTGAACGAGCTATTATCGTTCACTGATAATGACTGGTCCACGCGGAGACATTAATTAAATGTAAGGGATGTTAAGCAAGGAGTTTTTGAATGACAGACAGCAACCGGAAGTGAAATGCCGGAAGTACCTCAAGTATAATGGCGGAAATACCGGAAGTAAAATGCCTTGATGCTACCACATTTGAATAGCTAATTGTCTCTTTCTCCTTTAGAGACGATTCGTTCAAAATTTATACGGCCCACGAATGCAAAAGGTCCTCTTCCGGTTGACGTTGGTCGCTCAAAAACGTCGTTGCCTTAACTCCGTATTAATTAAATATGACGAAGCTCAAACAAAGCCGTTTTTGAACAACAGGTGGTTACAAGCTGAAATGAGGCTGTTTCCTTTTGAAAATGCCAAGATGCTACTGCTTTTGTATTGGAAAGTGACCTTACTCTTAAAGACGATTTGCCCGAATTTCCGGGCTAAACCACTGCCCACTAAATTATGCAAAACAACCCCTTCCAGTTGCCGTCCATTGCTCAAAAACGCCTTTGCTTTTGAATTAGTTTAGTTTGGTTTGGTTCTAATGGGTGGTTTTTGTATCTATTTAATGGGATAGTCTAATTAATTTTTGGTTAAAACTTTTGAAAACATTAAAAATTTAAAGACTTATCCTTAGTGTTAGTTGTTCCTTTGGCTGTCAAGCGTGGCCAATGTTATTTTCCAAATTCAATTTGTGAGGTGATTTCAGTGTTATTCAAGACTATACTTCAGCGTTGAAAATGTTTTATGTCGTCTATTGCTACAGATGGCAAGGATGGACTAGAATTGAAACTTAAAACTATTGGGCCAACTTTTTTATATTTTAAGGCTATGCCCATAATAGCCTGTGTGCAGACGCTCCCCTCCTCTCAGAAAAAAATCGGGAAGAGAGGCCCTCTCTCCCCGCTTATTTCTGCGGGCAGGGGGAGTCTGTACACAGGCCAAGCCAACAATAATCAGCTGAAGAATTATCATGATTAGTGTTCCTTGAGGAAATTCGTGTGGTCTCTTCTTCATACCACTACAGGTGGAGCAATTTGTGTATAGGGTTAAGACACTAGGAAATGATTTCTGCACAGAATTGACCTAAATCAGCCTAATATCCTCGTGATATAACCCCTTTAATGGAAACTTCAAAATAAAAAGTTGGTACAATAGAAAAGTAACAGATAAGTGATTAGAAACTACAAGTGGTGTAGGAGGTTAAAACAGATAACAAACGACAAACTGGAAAGAGAATCAAACAGAACTCTAGGATATATCTGATTAGAAAAGGTCAGATAATCATCACAATACTGTTGTTGTATTCATTGCAGCAAGTTTACCAAATGTCCGGGGATTTTAACTAGGAATTAACATGACAAGGACAGCGGACATTTCGTGACACAAATGGTTTCCTCGCGAATTGACGTCTGAGGAACGAGCACAGAAAGCGCGCGGAAAGCACTCTATGCGACTTTCGGTGTCCAAATTCTCTCTCTGCCATTGGTCAAGCCAGTTATTTGGTTTGCGCGTACCGTTGTCAACTGACGTCCCCTTTCTGTTGCTAAATCAGCCTGATAACATACCGTTGACGTGTCGCTATCCAGATCTGAGTGGTGCTCCTGATTGGTCGTGCCGCTTGGGAAATTTTCTTCAACCAATCAAAAGGGATAACCCAGATCTAGGTAACGGCACGTCATCAGTATGGAATTTCGGCACTTTTTCTCATCCGTCATCTCCCGGGGAAAACCAGTGGTGGCGTCGCAAAATGTCGGCTGCTTTCGTAAAATGTCGGCTGTTTTCGTGAAATGTCGGCTGTTTTCGTGGGCCTTGACATAACGCTTGGGTTTCTTCTTAAGTCGATGGGAAAGGTTTGGATAAAATTCGGGTGCCACGTAATGAATGCATTCATTAATGAAGTGTTTGTTTACACCAACTAAACTAGTAGACTAAGTTAAATTTGCAAACTGAGGCTGAGGCGTTGAAATCCGTAATATCGTCACATCCAGCTTTATCATTTGTTTCTGTCTTCGATATAAATTATAAGCTGTAGATATACGAGTGATTCTCTTATTAACGCTGGCTAGTGTTTCTCCTTTGTTTTTCTTTAGTAGGTAATTTTCGAGGAAAGCTATTACAGTAAATAGTCTATTCATAAAGAATCTTTATGCGGGAGTAATCAATGTAAATAAATGCTTCGAAATTTCAGACGATTGCTTTGTTTGTTCGTCGATATTTCTATAACACCATTAACCCGCAGGAAAGTGGGGTGTAAGTTTGGCGCACGAGTGAGGGATCCCTCACGTGCGCTTCGTGATTTCATGCGCTTGAGTGGACACTTCCCTTTGGAATCCCCACTGCGTTCGCTTTCTTCCAAAGTCACCAAAAACAGGTTAAGATTAGGCGGAACTATCTTGGATATTTCTAGTCTGCGAGCAGGCTCTGATTTATATGGCGAGTCCGTATGGCGAGCTTTGCGAGCCGCATGAGAACGCGCGAGCGAGCGGCGTCCCTTTCCCCTTTCGCGTGCTGCTCTCGCGTGACTCCTCGCAACTCCCTCTAGCCTGCGAGGAAGCCCTCCATTTGGGCGAGGGTGAGACGTCTTCTCTCGTTTGCCACTCGAGCGTTGACTTTTCACGCTATTTTCTAAATGGAGAGCTTGCTGGCAGGCTAGGATTATTTTTTTAAGTGTTAAGCTTTCGTCATGGGGGTGGAATTTGAAATGTTTGCTTTGCCTAGTTTTTCTTCAAAATATCCCAAAAACGACGTTTTCAAGATATTATTATTTGCAAAGAGAT